ATAAATGGATGAAGACTTTTGTAATCTACTCAAACCTATGCCTTATGTTGGTGAAGATTCTCAGTCATCCAGGACATGATAGATTCAAAAAACTTTCAATACAAAAACAACTGGACTTTATTTGTAACAGAAGACGAGCGTTCTCAATTCAATGAGCAGTGAGTGAGAGAGTGAGAGAGCAATGCTCTCGAAACGTCTTCGGTTACAAATAAAGTCCAGTTGTTTTTGTATTGAACGTTTTTTGAACCTATGCCTTAGAAAATGCACAGCTTTGATGCACTGTAATCTGTAGCATTTAAGGTTTTATATCAAAAAAGAAAAACAAACAACAACAAAACAGCATAGTCATTAAAACAAGTTCCAAATGTAAAGGCAGAGGTCAGGTACAGGAGAAGCTTTAGTAGCTGACACATGTGCAGGCTTTTCGTCTGTGACATGAACCGGTGCTGCACCGGCACAGAGCAACACGCTCAACCACCTGACAGGTGAGGAAGGCTTCCTGCATCGTGTTCATAAAGTAAATTTACCATCACTTATCACTGATTCTACTGGGACAACCTTTGGTGAGGTCCTGTTTGCAAATGACCTGAGCAGGAGTGAGACAATCTGCAGCTTTTAGCATAACAATGAGAAGATGAGCCAAACAGGAAGGAGTTTGCTCTCCAAATACCAGCTGAGAGAATGTTTTATTTTTTAATTTAGTTAGTCTTTAATGGTTATATATCCTGAGTTTAGAAACCCTGGATGCACATTTTGGTCATCAGAGGTGAACAAAAGACAAGATGAAGGATTAAAATTCTGATTAATCTGATTAATCTGATTAATCTGATTGCTTGATTTGTCAAAACATTTGTAAAAGTGAATTTTATGACTACATAACTAGAGACAATACATTTTCTGTGACAGTGCTGAGTGCTAAAACATTACTAATTATATAAAAATATGTAACATAAAATATGTGACTGCATAAATATTTGTGTGGTGGACTAATTCATCTCAGAGAAAGATTACTGAGAAGTACAAGAATATGATGGATTCTTGCTTTGTTTTCGTTTCTTCTCGATGCAAAAGGCAAAGCAGTGGTAATGTTTCTGCACGTCTGTGTGTCCTTTTGTCTGTGCTGTTAGCAAAATATTCCATGAACTACTGGCTGGATTTTAATGAAGATCTCAGAGTAATCTTTAAATGGGTCAGCGGTGATGCTAGAATCTGACCTTTAGAGGTGTTCAGCCCCCACTGCTGACGATGACTCTTGGCTTGAACAACACGGTGGCCATTGGCGTCAGAAGCATTTGTAATGTGGGGGGCACACTTGTAGGGGAGTCTGGGGGTCCACCCCCAGAAAATTTAGAATGAAGTGGATGCCATTTCCTGCGTTCTGGTGTATTTTAACGAGTTGTTTAACGTCTACATTTACCTCCATAAGTGAACACCTGATTCAATAACTGTTTTAGAGAGCAACAAAAAGTAGCCTGACCAACAGCTCTCCTTGTGTGAATAGAGCATGCTCCGCTTCTGTCGTGTATACTACCCCCCCCCCCCCCCACCCCCCAATTGGTCAGTTGCTGATGAGCCTACTAGATTGATTGACAGGTGGGTGGAGGATCCGACTCGTTCAA